GGCCTAGACCCTTCATCAGAAAAGAAGGGTCTAGGCCCGAAACGTCAGCCTCTCTGCTCCTATGATGCTGCTTGGCCTGCTGTGTTCATCCAGCCCTGCACCTTGTTGTCTTGGATTCTCCAGCATCTGCAGTTCCTACCACCTTTTAAATGAGATATCTTAGGTTATTGGGCTGGAACTCAAATTTGCCTTTTTGTAAAGTTACACTTTTTTAAATCTTCCAGTGGCAGCAAAAATTACTGTTAATTTAACAGTAGAACAAATTAGTTAGTGCGTTTTTTTTTGAACAAATAAATATCAAAGCTAAGATATGCTCACTAGTTATTTGAGGAGAGTGTACAGACAAGTCCTCATTTTTAATAGCAACTCTACTCCCTTGTGTATTGGAACTTTAAGCTAGGAATCTTCATATTGGCCTGAGGATAGAGGGCTACTTCATCTGCTGAAAATCAGGATATATAATATTCAGTTTTCAAACAAAAAACACAAAAACAGGTTGATGTTTTTGAGTATCTTTGATGGTCAGGCCATGCTGTAGGATGTTTATTTTGTCATTTGCATTTGTGGTGCCCTTTGAGTAAATGAACATCCATTGAGCTGCATAGCAATTTTCTTTGAATACATTCTTGTGTATTAGAAAGGACAGATTCAACACTGTTTAATTAGTGGTGGAGTGCCATACTAAAAGTTTCTTAATTTCATGAAGCATTAAAGTAGGGGGAAAAAAGCTTAACCTACATAATTTCTCACTTGTGTTTGCCATGAAGAAACAATTGGAGATATTTTGCATTTGTGCTTTGGTATTATCACAGACCTTTTAAGAAAAGCAATCAAACTTAAAGGAGTTGTGGGAGGATGGGGCTCATGTCAAGATGGAATCAGGCAGGAAAGTAGAGTTGAGAATTTGATCGGGTCAGGAAGTCTTATGAATGGTGCAGGTTTGAGGATAATGGCTTGCACGTTTTTTTTCTTGTGCATTTCTGTAACTCACTAAATGAGCTCCCTACTATAAACCCACTGGTCACAATTCTGAAATTCAACTATATTGAAATATTTTGTCTCTTATTGTACAGATGGGATTAATTTTATTTTTGAACTTGCCAATTAGTCAAGTTCAGTGATTCAGGCAACATCTTGAATTGGAAGGTAGCTGTAGCATATTTTCCAGCACCTTGCTTCAACCCTGTAACCTGAAGATGGACTGACCATAAACAGCTTAATTGTGGAAAATGGAGGTTTGGAAACATATCTAGAGCCACTCAGGTGGTTCAGTAAATATGGGGCAAGCATGAAATTGCAGTGCAGAAGTGGAGAAGATTGGAGATGTGATGGCCAAGGAATGGCAGGGGTAGTGGATGTGATTAGCTTAGTGAATTTTTTTTTTAATCTAACCTCAATTCTGTATTTTTCCTTTAGGATAATATGCAAAAACATCACAATCAAAATACATATCTATAGCCTTGGTGTATTTTTGGACTCCTTTTTCATTGGCTACAAGTCTGACTTTCTGTCAGGACCATTTTGAGGCTTATCATTACTGGACTCATCATTACCTGCCTACATTTTGATACATCGTGAATTGTCTTTTTCACAATTTGCTTAAAAGCTGGATCCAGAGTGCCCAAAAACTCATCGAAGTGCCTTCAGTTTTTGAAGTTTATTTAAACTTTTTGGAGTACAGCAGTAGTACGTAAGTTTTAAAAGTGTCATATACAATATGTCATGTTCCTGTTTTGTACAGAATGTGTGCTTGTTGATAGTGAAAGTATATGTTTACATACGATATTGTTATTGAACGTGTTAAAACTTTGGTCCTTCACTTTCCAATAACTCTTCTAGAATGTGCATCCAAATGGTTTCACTCCATGTGTAGCAAGTGGACCAACTTTACGTCTTTCTGGCATTTATACATTAGTCATTTGTTAGTCTTTCTTCATTAAAGCTGAAATTGGATATAATTTAAGCATTTTTTGCCTTTGATGGCTAGATGGAAATGCTTGATTTCTGGCCAAAAAAAAGTTTTTGGAAAAATCTCCTGAATTGCACCTGTACTACTTAGTCTTACTAGTCCCCTTTTTCTGTTAATGCTGAGTATAAGATACTGATTTAGAAACCAATTTATTAAACAATGCAAATGTGTTCAGTGGTACTCCTTGCAACATTCAGATGATTGGGTAATTACATAACTGAGGCTCGACACTACTTTTGAGCCATGAAAGTCGAAATAGTTTTTGTGCTGTACTCTGTTCTTTCCATACACCCAGTTCTTTTGTGGTTTTCCCATGGTACACAGCAGTGCAAAATGTGAACAAAGTAGGTATGCTTTAATCTATTTCTACAACTTATTAGAACGTTGAATTTTATTTTAGCAGGCTTCTTTGCCCATAAAGAAGAAAAATGATTCCTAATGGATACTTAGTTTTTGAAGATGAGAATTTCATTGAGTCATCTGTGGCCAAACTCAATGCTCTGCGAAAAAGTGGGCAGTTCTGTGATGTTAAACTGCAGGTATTCATAAATTGCTCATTCTTAAATTTCTGTTTAAGAAATATATGTTCCAAAAAGGGAGGCAATGGCCTCGTGGTATTATTGCTAGACTGTTAAGTAGAGAGACCCAGATAACGTTCTGGGGACCCAGGGTTCGAATCCTGCCATGGCAGATGGTGGAATTTGAATTCAATAAAAATATCTGGAATTAAGATTCTAATGATGACCACGAATCCATTGTTGATTGTTGGGAAAAACCCATCTGGCTCACTAATGTCCTTTAGGGAGGGAAACTGCTATCCTTACCTGGTCTGGCCTCCATGTGACTTCAGACCCACAGCAATGATGCCTAGCCAGCGATGCCCTCATCCAGTTAATGAGTAAAGAAAAAAAAAAAGTAATGGTACACATAATCAATTCAACAAAATTAGAATTCCCTTCTATTTTAGTTTATATTTATTACTGATGTTTTTTCCTCCTTCCATTACCTTTTGTTCTTCCAAAAAAAAATTTGTATTTTGATGTTAGTCCACAGGTGCCCTCTGGCACCTCAAGTGACCGTTCTTGAGTTGAATATAGGTTATAATTCAACAATCTAAGTTGAACCAGAACTTGTCTGAACATGCACCACATTAGAAGCCAATTCTAATTTTAACTTGCCTTGCATAAAAACAGGATAGTTCTGTCCAAAAATGTAGTTATTTGGGGATATGACTGGAATTTGTTCTGATTTTCATGATTTGGATTGGGGAAAAAAGACAATGGTTTTTGCTTTTGAAATTTTAAATTGATCATTCCATGTTTGTTAATAAAATGGGATTACACTTCAGGGAAATGACTTGTGACAGCTTGTGAATCTGTAATACCGAATATCAAATGATCATTTAACTTGGCTACAACCAATCTTGGAACCAATTGTATTTTGGGGGAAAAAGTGCACTGTTAAATGGGAAGTTTTTAACATTAATTCGTGCTTTGAAATGTTTTTCTTATTTAAGGTGTGTGGACATGAGATGCTGGCTCATAGAGCTGTTCTTGCTTGCTGTAGTCCTTACCTATTTGAAATTTTCAACAATGATAGTGATCCCCATGGGTTTTCTCATGTGAAGTTTGATGACCTAAACCCAGCTGCAGTTGAAATCTTGATGAATTATGCCTACACTGCACAGTAAGTGGTGTTTGTGAAATTTATGACTGGTTATTTTTTCAAAATAAAAAGGTTGTCAAGCACTGAGATGACTGTCAAAGAAATTACGCTTTGGAAAAACTTTTTAATTCCAGTTAGTAAGGCAAGTTAAATCAGAGTATAAAATCAAAAGCAATGTAAATGGATTATTTTTGCAACATGTGAGAACAAGATTTGAATCTTTGCATTCTCCTTAAATTCTGATCTGGCAGGGTAAATTCTCAGAGTCTATGCTGTATGTATTCAGCAGTTCAACTGTTTGAATTAGAAGTTGCGGGGTGGTGCGGTGCTCAGTGGTTAGCACTGCTGCCTCACAGCGCCAGGGACCCAGGTTCAGTTCCACCCTCGGGTGACTGTCTGTGTGGAGTTTGCATATTCTCCCCGTGTCTGCGTGGGTTTCCATTGGGTGCTGCGGTTTCCTCCCACAGTCCAAAGATGTGCAGGCTAGGTGGATTGGCCACAGTAAATTGCCCATAGTGTTCAGGGATGTGTAACTTAGGTGTGTTGTAGGGGGATATGTCTGGGTGGGATGCTCTGAGGGTCGGTGTGGACCTGTTAGGCTGAAGGGCCTGTTTCCACACTGTAGGAATTCTGAGATGTTTAGGGCCTTTTCATCTAGCTACTAAAAAGGGGACCCTTTCGTGGCTAAGTAGTTGTGCCCCTACCCCTGGACTAGGAAGCCTGGGTTCAAGTCCAACCTGCTCCAGAGATGTGTAATGACATCTCTGAACAGGTTGAATAGGAAGAAGTTTTTGTTTTTATCTAATTTAATCGAAGAAGTAAAGAAACACCCCACCTCCAACAGTTATTCACCTTGGTTCATGACCAGTTGTTTTTAGTTGAGCCCTCTGTTTTGCTTGTTAACCTACATAAGCTTTAGCAAGTTGTATTTGTGATTTGGTGAACCACTTAACTTGTAAATCAAATTGTGTACATGTTGTTATAGTCAGGATGAGTTGCTTGCTTTGATTTGGCAAAATGCTGCTTTGGTAGGAATTTATGAAACGATTCCCTTAAAGTAAAATATCTTTGTATGCAATCCTTATCTCAACATCTGTTCAACCCTCATTTGTTCATCTCACTGTTATCGACTATTTTCTCTAGTGGTTCTACATTTTGTTTTTCTCAGTTTTCCCATTCTGTTTCAGTCAAGTTAATTGAGAGTATCTCATTTCACTACGTGCAGAATTAATTTGTAGTGAAGAACGTCAGTGGACTTGATTTATTTAAAATTTGAATTTGCAGACTTAAAGCAGATAAAGAACTGGTAAAAGATGTGTATTCAGCTGCCAAAAAACTGAAGATGGATCGAGTGAGGCAGGTGTGTATGTCTGTGCAAATGGTAGTCGGCCAGAAAGTTGGCTTTTGGGGAAAGGATTTTTGAGACTTGGCTAAAATGAAATTGTCCACTGCTTTAACTTGTTATGGCTATGAGCTAGAAATTCTTTGAACCACTTTCAGGGGAAAAAAAGGAGTTATCATCTGTTATTTTCACAGTTGGATTAATTCCATCTTCCTCCTCTTTAATGATTTTTTTTGGGTGAAAAATCTTGGAGTTTTATTTTGTTTTAACTAGTTAAACTTAGATGTAACGGGTGTTCAGAAATAATCAGTTATACTAATATCTGTAATGAGTGCTGTGTAGTGAGAGAAGCTACTATAAGTGTAATCCATTAAACCAAAGAATATTGCTTTGTATTTGTAAAACTCTGCAGGGTAATAATACTGATATTGGTGGGCAGATCAAAGTTTTTTTTTTTTTTTCCCCTTGACACTTCATATTAAATATTGCCACCTAGTTAATGACACTGCATTTGCTGAGAAGTTAAACTAATGCAAAAATACCACACTTATTATTTTTCAGGATTTCTGTATGCTTAATTACATAGAATTTCAATTATTCTGGCAATTGTGTTTAAAGCAGACAAGAATGTCTTTTTACATTGAGAATATAAAGGTGAAAGGGCACTTGGTGCTTTTATGCAGCTCTAAATTACAGTATACTTGTGCCTATTCCATGAGGATTTAAATTTCCCTTGGTTTACATTCATTGTGGCTAGTATTTGTTTAACTCCTGCTGTGTCACTACCCCCTCACCACATTGAATTGTTATAACAAACTGTGAATTTGTTCTAATATAACTTCGTTAGGTTTGTGGTGATTATATACTGTCCAGGATGGATGTCCAGAATTGCATTTCTTATCGAAACTTTGCCAGCCAAATGGGAGACACTCGGCTTCTGGGCCAGATTGACAGTTGCATTCAGGAAAACTTGTTGGAGATTTCAGAGCAAGATGAATTTTTAAAACTTCCACGACTAAAGGTAAACCAAGTCGAAATTGCTATCATCCTTTCTTAAATCTAAGATAGTTTGAACTTGCTATTTTCAAAGCACAGCATAATTGCTGTTTATTATTGACTCCTGTTGAACTTTTTTCCTGTATGGAAGAACAATGTTTGGCTATAATGCTTGGATTTTGTTCTATTTGTTGTATCCTTTTTTAACCCTAGCTGTAAACATACTAACTGCATTTGGATACTTAACTACTTTTCATTTGAATCTTTTTTCTTTTCAGTTGGAGGTGATATTGGAGGAAAATGTCTCCTTGCCAAGCAATGGTAAAGTTTACACAAAGGTAATCAACTGGGTGCAACGTAGTGTCTGGGAGAATGGAAAAAACCTGGAAGAACTGATGGAAGAGGTTAGTATAAACAAAAAACAAGTGTTTATGCTTATGTGGAGGCTTGCATTATTACATAAACTGTGATCCTAAAGAATTTAAATTTTGCTGTAGGTGCCCCTAAGCTGAGAAAGTGGGGTGTGAAGGTGAGCAGTATAAATTGTTAAGTCTTTTTTTTTTCCCCCCTGCTATGATGCCTTTTATTTTTGGGAATCTGTTTTTGGAGCATTTGTCTTGCAATGAAGGGAAAAAAAGCTTTAGAGACAGGGAGAAAGAGGTACTTTTCTATGTTTAATTGCTTCCTTCCACAGCTAATCCATGTGAGTAAGTACAATATTCTAATTTCTGTCCCTCCCAATTGATTTTTATTTCCTTAGGTTTAATCTAACAAAAGTAGGATACTTCAAGCCTGAAGAAAATGGAAGATGCTGCGAGGGTAGTGACTCATAAGGAAGCAGCGGCCTTTCCCTAAAGTCTGCAGAATTTTGCTTTGGGCAAGAGTTGATTTAATGGTGTTTGCTCCTTTGCAGGATTATTAAGGTTACTTACATTAATAAGTTGCAACATTGTAGCAGAATCTGACTAAAATTGCTCTGTTGGGGTGGTTTCTGGAAAACATTAATTATAGAAAATGTTACCATTCTCTAGGGGTAGTAAAAAGGCTTTTTAAAGTCGGTAAGGGGACTGGGAATATTTACCTGGTAAGTCATGTTTTCTAATGGAAATTCTTCCAATTAATGTTGCACAGGCCATGAACTCTATCCATTACATAACTTTAAACCATTATTTGGAGGGGGCATGGTAAATGTGAGATTACTTGGAGCAGCAGCACAATGATGGGGGAAATATTGCGCATCTGGTTGGCAGACAGTTGTGTGGAATTTTATAGCACATAAACAGGCCCTTTGGCTCAATGTGTTGGCTCCATGTGAGCCTCCTTCCACCTTCATCTTTTTTTTGTTCTTTTTCTCCTTTTTATGTACTTATGCTACTGCTTGCATTGTATGCACACTAGGTCTTTACATTTTTCCCTTATTTTTGTTTCCTATTCCAACACAGTTCAGATTTTAATCTTTTTTTTTCCAGAAAGTTTCTGAAGTGCTTTTTTTCTGGCTGAGAGCACAATTATTGAATGATTATGGGAAAACTGGAAGTATTCATTTCAAACAACAGTTTTTATTTGGTTATTGTGCAGAACTTAGAAATTTAAGACTAGATCAAATTGTGCAACCGTTCACTACACGTACCAGAGGCTCACTCCTTTTAGTCTTGTTATTCATGCTGCTATATATTGTACTTCCTCTTAGATACAAGATCACTGAAGTGGACTTCCTAGTTGATCTCGCAAAAGTGCAAAATGAAATATTCCTAATGGATTAACATGTAGAGCTCTACCTTTTTAATAAAATGTACTTGCTGTTGCTATTTCTCTGACATAATGCAGCAATTCCACTTGAGCAGACTAAGTAGATACTGTTGATTTGAGGACCAGTTGGAATTGAGATTATAATTTTGAGCGAAGAGAAGTTTGAACAAAATTTCTTGCAATTTTATGGCTTTAGTATTTTTAAAATTCTGTATCCAATAATAGGCAGAACTATTGATGTGGCAGCATTGAGTATTGACAGAAACAGTAATGCGATATGCAAAAATTAAGTTTTTGCATCAGTGACGTGCAAAATAGTGTTGGTCTAGTTCAGTGGGTGGAGAGCTATCTGAGCAAGGTCCATCTGGACATGTTGAGAGATTGTTCTCAAATAACCATTTATTTAAAGAGGATCATGGGGGAAGGGAATGTTTTATTTTTGTGATTTGCTAGCCAAGCTAGGTAGAACCCAAAAAGTCTGTACCAGTTGGAACATTTAATACATATGTGGTAGGTAGGATTTTCTGTTTTGGAGAGAGCACAGTAATCCCGAGGTGCAACTGCCAACGTTTCTGAATCTGTTAGTGTTTGAGTGATGAACAAGTGCTGATTTCCATATAGCTCTTTTATATCTAGATTGTGTAATACGTTGCTTTAGAACTTGACCCAGATTTAAAGATTGTCTTCGCCTTTTTCCAGGACTATTTTCAGCTATTGCTTATCCTGTGGAGTAGTCTTTCATAACAATCTAACTGCTTGTAGATACAGGATTAAATCAGGTGGCCCTTTGCATCCTAGATTCACCCAGATTGCAAATTTGAGCTTTAAAACAGGATAGTCTTGAATAACCTGCATGTCCTTTTGAAGGAGAAAAGAGATAAAACTAAAAATTGCCCAGTCAATATTTTTTCACCTTCTTTAAAGGCCAACTACTTGTAATCTCTACATTGTAAGGAAGTGATTGTCTTATTGTCTTATTCTGGAGTTCCTGTATTTACCTTGCACGATTCTCCCTAGCAGCCTGAGAAACTTCTACAGTGCAAAAGAATACTCATGTCTCATTTTTGTCAGTGGATTTCTTACACTTTAGGTATCGAAAGGAACTAAGGGTGCAAAGAATTGATTATCATCTGTTTACTTAGAGTTTCTACCATCGTGCAATGACTTAAATTTTCTGTCAACCAACTGCAGTCCTCTTCAAGAAAGCAGAGACCTTCCAGGACTAAAGAACTAAAAATAACCAAGAGCTTGTGTGAACGAACTTGTTGCTATGGAACAGTAGCCACATGGGTGTTTGTTGCTGTTTTGCAGGTTCAAACCTTGTACTACACTGCTGATCACAAAATGCTTGATGGGAGCGTACTAGATGGACAGGCTGAAGTGTTTGGCATTGATGATGACCACATTCAGTTTGTACAGGTACTGAATACTAAGGGGTGCACATATGAAAATTAGTTGGGATGGTATGTTCAATTCCCACTAATCAGGCTAGCACAGAATTTTTATTTTGCTTATCCAGTCAGTGTAATGCAGGTTTTGAGCTGTTCATCTTGCATAGTGTAAAGCTGTAGGATGTGGGACTTAGAAGTTGGGTCGAGATACTGCAGAGGTGTGCTGCCCAATATATTGTAAAAAAAACCTGTCTTAAGATGTTTTCCCTCACTGACCAGATCCTTCCTTAGCACTAAAATAGAGATCTATAACCTGTTGAGCTCTGGTTAGAACAGTTCTTAGTTGTTTCTAGAATGATCTGATGTGCATATTGGGTTATTTCCTCCTGCTTTTCAGGAGATGCTAACATTCAGTTGGCACCAACCTGAATAGCACAGATTTGTAGGGTCCTACTGGGAGATTTTTAATCAGTGTGTGAATATCCAGTGGAGACATAACAAATCTATATAGTGCTGTTTTACCACATGGTTTAATCAACTGTCCAGTGTTAGCCTGTGTTGTGTTTAGTTTTGGTACTTTTATTGTGGTTTTTTTAGTGCCTTTTTTTATATGCTTTAAAGATGTTGGTAATGGTGTTCATTTGTTGGTGGTTATTTCAATGCAAATGGTTTGAGGGAAGTGAATGGATGTTGTTTGTTTTGGAAGTTGATAGCAGTAGAGTTTCTTGCATAAGATTAAGTAACTTCTGGTATGTAGGAGGAATAGGGTGTGAACGTAGAAGATGAATGCAGGTGTAGCTTGGCTAGGTTTTCTAGCTGCCCATTTGATTTTGCAGAAGACATCTCCGCGGGAGAACAGCCACCGACAGATACATAGCATGTCTTCTGGAATTCTGAGTACTCCAGTGCAAACAAACAAAGATGAGTGGAAAATCATTGCATCGGAGAAAACAACATGTAAGTTACCCATCTACAGCAATCTTATTGGGAACATTCTGCTAATCAGTTTTGAGGAAGAAGAAATTGTAATTGTTTTGCTCTGAAAGTATGCAATTCTGCTTTAAATTTCTTGGAGTGGGCTGTATAGCTTGCTGAGGGGGTCAAAAATTTGAATTTGCCCTGCTATCCTATCTAGGTGTATTGGAAATGTTTTATTCCCCATATTGGATGCATGGCTGGATGTATAGACACCTGCCTACTTGCTGACAAGTCATTTTACTTTGTCCTTCAGGCACTACATATCTTTGTTTGGCTGTCTTAAACGGTGTGCTGTGTGTCATTTTCATTCATGGCCGCAATAGTCCCCACAGTTCACCCGTCAGCACTCCATGTCTAACCAAGAGTATCAGTTTTGAGGTTCAAGTTGAAGATGGCAAGCTCTTGCCCCCCATGCAGTATGCCCGCTCTGGTCTAGGAACAGCAGAGCTGAATGGCAAACTCGTTGTTGCTGGTGAGTCCAAATTTGTGTTCCAAAAGTTTTTATATAAACAAACGAAAGGGCATTTTTCGTCTTGATTTTTAACCCAACCCCACAAGTTTTTTTTTGTGCAGTAGATTCAGAGTTATCAGTGCCTTTTACTCAGTCATTCTTTGTAAATAAGCCTAAATCCGTACTTTCCAGCGCACACACAGTTGTGGATGCTGAGGCCCAGTGTCTCAGACCCAGGATGTTGCTGTGGGAGCTACTCCAGGGTAATGACCTAGGTGTAGCTGCTTCATTGATGATCTTCCTTCCAACTAACGTAAGAACTGTGGATAAGAGAAAAATGCTTGTTTTGTTTGTTTGTGTTTGTTTTTTGTAATGTTAGCAGCTACTGAAAGAAACTTTGCTCATATGCAGCAATACCCAGACAATTTAGGCTCGGCCTGATAAGTCTCATGAGGTATTTGCAAAAAAAAACAAATCTGCTAATGGGTTAATGGATTTATCATTCCTGAATCCACATCATCAACATCCTGGAGATCACCATTGACCAGAAGTTGAACTGGACCAGTTGTATAAATATTGTGGGTACAAAAGCAAGTCAGAGGTTGGGGATTGTGCAGTGAATAACTTGCCTCATCGCTGCCATCTACAAGGTACTGGTCGGGAGTATGATGGGTCTGAAACTTGTCGTAAACTTAGAAAGGAGACTAAAAGTTTACAAAGAGTATTGGCTAAAGTGGACGGGTAAAAACGAGCTAAAAAAGTGAAATAATATATCTCTGTTTAGCCTGTTTTGACTAAATTACAAATGTCTGTCTCCATGTCTTAGACTCCAGAAGTTGACATTTTATGTTGTGAAAACTTAAAACAGTCACATAGTCTTTGGTACAGTTATATAGACTTTATTCTGACAAGCTGGCAGACACCCCTTCTATTACAATGTTTTTGCAATTCACTTGGCATGAGCTCCTTAATTTACATCCCTATTGATAAATTGGGCTAAACATGTTCTGCAGATGTCCCTTTCACGTTCACATTAGCTCTGATATTCGCTCCTACTTGATTCCCTGATATCACCCTGATACTTTATAAATCCAAGCTGTGAAGGTTAGGCAGCTTTGCAAGCTTGCATTTTCATATTCTAAATGGCCTGTAGTATGGGTTATATTTCCCTTTGTGCTTAGAGAAAGTGCTCATACTGATGTTTTGTCTATTCCTGAATTAAATATTGAACTTCATCAATTGTCTCACTCAAATTGTGAGAACATATTGTGCGTTCTTTCATATGTAGCAGTTTGTACAAACCGCGGATATATTGTATCCTCATCAATAATATCAACTATTGTAACCACTTTTCTCTTTTTAACATATTTTCCACAAGTCTTTCATAGACCAAAGCAGTTGGTAATCTCAATATAATATGTAGCTTTTATTTTAATGAAGTGTCTTGCTCAGCTCAAACTTTTTTTTTGCTTGTTTCTTTTACAGCAAACAGACCTTAAATTGCATCTAGTATATAGCTTCAAGCTATAGACTTTGAATGCCTTTTTGTGCAAGGCGGTCGAAGTTACAAGACCAGTTCTTTTGTCTTAAATTTTCTTAAAAGCAGTATTCAACAATTAAGCTGAAGTAAAAGACAGCTAACGCAAAATCCTAAAATATTACTTCGAACCACCATAAGTCTGAAAATTACTTGAATCAAAATCTTACTGCTGGATGAGGTAGATATTGAGAGGATGCTTCTTTAGATGAAGACCCGTGGGACTTCTCCTTAAAAATAAGAGATCTCCCATGTAAGACTGAAGAGCAGTTGCTTCAATTGGTTGTTAGCCAAGGCTGTCGTTGAATATCTTCAAAACAGAATTAGATTTTTGGTCTACATAGTAGTCTGAGGTTATAGGGGCAGGCATGAAAATGGATTTAAGGCCACAATAGATGACTTATGATCTTGATGAATGCGGAGCAGCTCAGAGCGAAAGGGCCTACTCTCTTTGTTTATGTTCATACACTTGCACTCAACCGGGTAAAGTGAGAGCATTTATTCTGGGTGTACCCTACCAGAGCGTTTCTTATCATATTGACATAACATTAGATTATGGCAGCAGCCCTTTCATTCATGTTTTATGATTGAACAATTACTGTCTTTGTTTTTGCCATTCTCCATTGATTATTTTTGTTTTCTCCCACTGCTTTTAAGACTAGCTGTAATTTGCCTTTTGAATGAAATCAATTTGAACAAATTTATAAAACTAAAGTTATAAATTTTGAGAATCTCTTCTACATTGCAAAATCTTCCATATAGATTGCTTTCTGTGCCACTTATTTATGTACTCTAATGCCTGAAATTTATCATGACTTGTTTAGGTGGCTACAATCGTGAGGAGTGTTTAAGAACAGTAGAATGCTTTGATCCTGCCACGGATGGATGGATTTTCATTGCTCCAATGAGGACTCCGCGTGCAAGATTTCAGATGGCTGTGTTGATGGTAAATGGGCAGAAGAAAATGACTATTTGTGACCATTTGAGATTATAATCTCTTCTATAATAGCTGAGCATTTCTATTGGTCATACTGTATTTTAAACTCCAGAGCATGTTTGATTTATAACATGTTTTTGGAATTAATTTTAATGAATTTAGTTTATCAATTTGCTCTCATTAATGCTTAATTTCATCTTAGTTAAATCTTCTTCCAAATGCTAAAGATTTGTCTTTTTTTTGGTTGTTGCTTAGTGGGGGTATTTTTATCCTGTAGGGCCAACTGTATGTAACTGGTGGGTCCAATGGCCACTCGGATGAGCTTTGCTGTGGTGAGACATATAATCCAAATACCAATGAGTGGACCCCTGTGCCAGAGCTCCGAACCAATCGTTGTAATGCAGGCAAGTAGGCAAGTGTTTTGTAATGTAATAATGGCTGACTTCTTTGATACATGGCTCCTGACAGATCTCTGATTGGTTGGCAGGTGTCTGTTCTTTAAATGGAAAGTTGTATATTGTTGGTGGCTCGGATCCATATGGACAGAAAGGATTGAAAAACTGTGATGCCTTTGACCCAGTATCAAAAACCTGGACAAATTGTGCTCCTCTAATTACACGTATGTCAATTCTATGTAAAATGCCATCTGTAAACAAAAAAAGTTGCTGATTCTTAACAGACATTTTGATGTAAAGTTGACTTGCAAGATGTTACATAAATCAAGCTTGTATATAAAAGTCACAATTGAAAAAAATCTTCATTGTCACTGTTTTAAAACTCTATTCCTTTGTTGCTTTTTTTCTGAAACTTCTGTACAAGTTGTATTAATTCCAAATTATTGTTTGAATATTAGGTAGACATCAAGCTGCTGTATGTGGACTGGATGGATACCTATATGTAGCTGGAGGTGCAGAGTCCTGGAACTGTCTGAACACTGTAGAACGCTATAATCCTGAAAACAACACATGGACTCTTGTTTCACCCATGAATATGGCTCGCCGTGGAGCAGGAGTAGCTGTGTATGATGGTGAGAACAAATATATAACTTTCAGTTGGCAAAATGTATCAGCATGTTGAAGTGTACAATTTCCATTTCAATGACAGTGGAGGTATAGTATAAAAGGTGGGGATGCAAGCGTGCCCAAATCTCAAAGAAACAAAAATTTTTTTATTGTATGAGAAAAGGGCATTGATTCGTCAACCACATTTGGTTCTTAATCGATAAGATGTTGTGATGGAGCCTGCACCAGGAAGCGCGCGTCCCTTATGCTTCTATGCGTAGAATTAGAGTTGCATGTCTTTGCATACGTTTTTATTGTAGGTAGAGAGCAGTTAAGAACAAACTATATGCTAGGCTTTGTTTTTGTACTCTGCACCCCTATCAATCAAGAGGTTATGCTGAACTTGTATAAGATATTAAATGCCTGCGCTGCATACAGTTTTGGGCTTCACACTTGAAGAAGGAGATGAATGCATTTGCAGAAGTAGTATAGAAGAATTATTTCCAGGAATTAGAAACTTCAATTATGAAAGAATTGGGAAAATTGGGATTCCTTTTGCTCTCCGAGGACAAGGCTACAAGGGGATTTGATGCAAGTTTTCAAAATTAAGACATCTGGACAGATTAAATGGGGAGAATATATTAATACCTTGGATAAGGAAAGTGAATGTATTATAATCTAAGTGCGCAGGTGGCCACAAATAGAAAGGAAAGTGTTGAGGCTGACAGTCTGTGGAGGAATTTAGATAGGTTGTGAGTGGGCAAAAACTTGGTAGATGAAATATAATGTGGGGAAAATGTGAAGTCACGCTATTCTGGCAGGAAGTTGAAATTGAGAAAGACTGCAGAGGGAATTTAGGAATCTCGACTTAGTGCAGAAGCAGTCATGCAAAGATTGGAAGCCATGACCCTCACCCGCATACAGTCAAATCTGTGGATACAATATGTGGGTGATACACTTGTCTTCATTAAATGCACTAAGTTAGAGACACAGCATCTCATCAACATATTCACCAGGATCAAATTCACAGGAGAAGAAGAAAACAACAATCAACTTCCATTCTTAGACGTCCGGGTAGAATGAATTGACAAACTGGGAATTCCAAGCCACAGTGTACAGGAAGGCAACTCAAACTGACCAAATCCTCAATTTCCACAGCAATCACCCCAACATCCACAAACAAAAGTGTGTAAGGACACTAGTTAAATGGGCCGCAACACACCTGAATGTCGCAAGGAGGAAGAGCACCTATGTAAGGTTTTCACTATCAGTGGATACCCCACCAACTTCATCCACAGATGCGTTCCAGATAGACAACACCAAGAGGACACAATACAACCTAATACACTGGCCGCACTACTGTATGCCAAGAACGTATTGGAACTGACAACGAGATTCCTACTACTACTAGGAATCAGGGTAGCACACAAACCCACAGTCACATGACGACAAATTCTGTGACATGCAGGACCAGTGTAGTGTACAAAATACCATGCAAGGACTGCCAAAAACATTACATTGGCCAGACAGGAAGGAAACTAGCTGTCAGGATACATGAACAGCAGCAGCAAAACGACAATGCACTTTCCCTCATTTCAGTACACTCGGACAACGAAGGCCATCAATTTAACTGGGACAATGTGACCATCCTAGCTCAAGCCAACCACAGACATGCATGGGAATTCCCAAAGGCCTGATTCTCCACCCATAGTGCAATCAATAAACATGTGGAATTAGACCCCATATACAAACCCTTGCAAAAAAGAACTGGAAATTACACAAAACACCTCAACAGACCAGATCATAAATACTGAGCGGAGTAGAACAAACTTGCTTCATCGGAGGCTGCACTGATGTTACCTAGCATGGTGACAAAATGTCAGAACTATAACTGGCCAGCAAGTCGACAACCTCGCCCACAACCTGAGCTACAAATCATTGCAAGAATCTGCAAATCACCATCGATGAATCTCAAAAAACTAGCAACTGAGCTTGGCAGGGAATGGGGAAGTCACATGACCTTTGTCTCAAATGCAAAGAAGGGATATGAGAGCCTTGGCAGAGAAGGTTAAAGATAATCCAAAAAAGATTCTACAGATACGTTTAAGAGCAAAAGAGCAGCCAGAGAGAGAGGAGGATTCCTTTAAAGATCCGCAAGATTGTCTTTGTGTCCAATCTCAGATGGAGAAAGATGAAATGAATACTTCACGTAAGTTTTTACTGTGGAGAAAGAAATAGAGGCTAGAGAACTCCAAATTGATGTTTTGAGAACAGTTCACATTACAGAAGAGGAAGTGCTGGACGTCTTAGAAAATATAAAGGTGAATACATCTCCAGGACCTGATCAAAGTGTATCCCAGACATTGTGGAAAGTTAGGGAGGAAATTGCAGGAACCTGGCAGAAATATTGTAATCACTTTCGCCATCCTCCAGTTGTGTTTATGTAATGTTTGTGTAATGTCCATGTTTGAGAGGCTGTAAGGAGAAGCCTGGAAACTAAGCTTGCAAGTGGGTAAGTTGTTGGAGGTGATCCTGAAAGATAGGGTTTATGCATTTGGAGAGGCAGTGATTGATTAGGGCTAGTCAGCATGGTTTTGTGCGAGGGGAAAAATCATGTCTCTCAAACTTGATTTGAGGAAGTAACCAAGAAGACTAAGGGTGGAGTGGTAGACATTGTTTACATGGACTGTAGTAAAGCCTTTGACAAGGATCTGCATGGTAGACTAATTGATAAAGTTAGATCACAAGGGACTTAAGGTGAGCTTGTAAATTGGATACAAAATTGGCTTTATGGTAGGTAACTGAGGTGGTGGAGGGTTGTGTCTTTTGGACTGGAGGCCTGTGACCAGTGGTGTTCCTCAAAGATTGGTACTGGGGTCCACTTTGTTTGTCGTTTATATGTTTTATCCAAATCCTTCATACAAGAAGCATGATTAGCAATTTTGCAGATGACACCAAAATTGGTGCTGTAGTAGACAGTGAAGGTTATCTAAGATGATAGAGTTCTTAATCAATTGGGTTAATGGGCTAAGGTGTGGCAGATGGGGTTTAATTTGGATAAGTGCGAAGTATTGCATTTTGGGAAAACAAACAAGGACAGGACTTTGTACAATTAATGGTAGGGCTCGGGTAGTTCTGTAGAACCGAGACCTAGGAGATCAGGTACGTAATTCTTTGTCTACCTGTGACACAAATTTCAATGGTTAAAAAGGAGTTTTGCACGCCTGCCTTCATTGCTCAGATCTTTGAGAATAGGAGTTGGGACGTCATGTTGAGGTTGTACAGGATGTTGGTGAGGCCTCTTCTGGAGTACTGTCCAGTTCTGGTTGCCCTGTTTTGGGAAGTATAGTATTAAGCTGGAGAGGGTTCAGAAAAGATTTACCAGGATGTTTGAAACGGAGAGTTTGAGATATGAAAATAGACTGGGACTTTTTTCACTGGTGTGTAGGAGGTTAAAGGGTGACAGTCTTTTGAGGTTCCCAAAATCATGAGGGGCATAGATATGTGAATGACAAGGGTCTTTTCCCTTGGGATAAGGAAGTTCAAAACTCGGGTGTATTTTTAAGGTGAGAGGAGAAGGGGGACAACTTTTAAAACAGTGGTTTGTTTGTGGAATGATCTTCCAGAGGAAGTGGTTGAATGCAGGTATAGTTACAACATTTAAAAATCATTTGAATAAGTACATGAATAGGAACAGTTGGGAGGGATACAGTCCTAGCACAGGCAGGTGGGACCAGTTTAGTTTGGGAACATGTTGGACCTAAGGCTCTGTTTTCTATGCTGTATTACTCTACTGCTATGAATGGAGTATAAAGGTAGAAATAGGGGGTTTTTCTAAAATTTCAAGGCACAGCTGGAATACTGAACAGTTTTTTGGGTGCTTATTTTGTAATGAAAGGTAGACTGCTATTAGAGACTGTCTAGAGGTTTGCTAGGCTGATCTCAAAGTATGAGATCAAAGGGTAAATGCTTTCTGACTGATCCCCATGTCCCACCCCAACAGGGCCTCGGCAGTGACTGAGTGAGTGGTGGGGAGTGTCTGTCAGTCTTTCCAGTCTTTTGAGAACTTCACAGGATAAATGTGTTAGGTATAATCTCAAAATAAGGGATTATTTTTATGACTGAGATGAGGAATTTCTTGGGTAGTGAATCTGCAAAATACTTTACTACAGAATGCTGTCAAGGCTGGGTCACTTAAAGGCTGAGAGATGTTTAATTGGTAAGTGCATTGAGGGTTCTGGGTGAATAAAGACAGGAAAATGGAGTTGAGGGTTATCGGAGCTTATTGAGTCTGCTCCGTCACTGAGCTGAGTTGCCTACTTATGGTCTTATTATTCTCTAGAAACTTCCTGTCTTGTTAAAAGGTTTGAGAATGAGGGGGTACAGGTTTATAAGAAATTTTCAAATCTAATGCCATAAATGGCTCCGGTCTGGAGTGTGCTGTCTGGCAGTCTTGTGGTGGTGGGTACAGTTGCTGGATTTAAGGGAAATATGGAGTTGTGGGAAAAGATGAGAATGGCACAAAGTCATAATGCATATTCAGAGAGTTAGTACAGAGTTGGTTGAGTAGCCTCCATCTACATCATAACAACTGTGATTATCGCTAGCAGTGACATTTGTATCTTGTATTCCTCATTGTGTGGTAGGTGCAGAGCACAAGGCTATCCTGAGGGATAATGACTATTCTAATCAAATTGTTGCTCACTATGTAGAATTTGTATTCATGAACAGGCCAAAGGCCCACTGCTTTTGCACCTGAAATTGCCCAGGTTACATCTACCTGCTCAAATAAGGTGTCCAAACAGTCCAAGCCATGTGAAGCTAGCCATTTCACAATATCTTCCTCTGCATATCATAAGTAGTATTTATTACAAATCACAACATGAATATGAAATTTAGTGCCAGTGTGAGCTTTTTAATTTACAATTTTAAACTGCAGTCCCATTTTTGTTTTATTAACCATTTTAGGCAAAAATATACAATTTGGTGTGGTAACTCTAGGAAACTACTTAATTTAAAGTAATACTTTACAGGTATACTGTGGCTTTTGTTTCCCAGTTCACTTGGGGTGTGGGGTTGACCCATTGTCTCTGGAGTTTTCGGCTTCCAAACGGACAGCTGTTCCACAAACTTCAGTTTCAAATTGTACATCTTGGACTTTCCAAGCCATGACTTACAGCATGAACAATGATGTTTATTACATTCTGATAAGCCGGGTGAGGGGAGACTCCTTTCTAGCTCAGGTTAAGGAATGTGATCAATCTGTGATTCATCCTTGAAGGTGATTGGACATTTGATGTCACCTCCCATTATCTTGTTTGTTTTGTTTCATTTTCTTTACCACCCTTCTCATACTTTTGACTCCTAACTAAACTAAGAGCCTAAGATAAAGGGTATTCTAATCTCCTCTTTGCCCATTTGTTTAGGGTCGGAAGATTGAGTTTAGGGTATCGGCCATCTGGGTTTGGTAGGATCAATGTCTGTTTTTTGGTCAAGTTCCTCATTAAATTAAACACTTATCAATTATTCTTTATTGTTCAATGTTTTTCTTGTGGTGTGGTCTTGTTTTTTTAAAACCAAAAACATTGATCTTTGCTATAATTAGGATTAAGGTTACAAGCAACTTTTTTGCTCTGTGCTGAGTGTATAGCATGTTTATTATAATAGAATTCATAAATATAAAAGGTGAAGTAATGAGGTTCTTGTCTGTTCGGTCAGTATGTACTCATGAATAAAGTCCAAAACATCTTGGTTACAAATTTAAAACATTTGCAGCTAATACTAATATAAAAATTACATGTAACCAAATAATTGCTTCTGTTCTGAATTTTAAAAAGTTAATGTAGAAGAGCTAGTAGTTTCTTCTTTTCACATCCAGTTAAACTGGCATGGTCCTTTCTCCATAATTTAATGTGTCAAGCATGTGTGCTCAAGTTCTCAATATAGCTCTGAAACAAAAATAACTGCGGGCAAGAGGCTCTTAGCATTTTGCCTTCACTAATTTAGTGTTACCTTTTTATTCTGTTCCAAACTCCAAGTGCTTTTATTTTGTCAAGTGAGGCTAAGTAAAGATCACAGGATATTGAAGTATTTAAATCTAAGTTACAGTTGAACAAAAAAGTCAATAGATTAATAGACTTGGTTTCATGTTTCACTTAGACTGTAACAAATCTCCCTTCTAGTCCTACACCAGGTACAATCAGTTTAAGATTCATTCATTCTAATACAGCTTAAGTTTCTGGAAGCTGCATATTCATATGCAGAAATCTGTCCTCCTCCAGCAGAGGTGGATGTGAACATTTGCCATGGCAACATCCTTACTATTCAGAACTGACTTGCCATTCTTCATACAATTTAAATTGGCAGAAGTTTGAAGGGACAATAAGCTTTAATGGCAGTACTTGGGAACATAGGCAAGTGTAGCCTGTTTAACCCCTTGGATCTTTTCTGCTTTTCAGTGAGATAAGGTTGATCTGTGCCCCAACTCCATACAAGCACCCTTACTTACTCTACAGCTCTTAAATTTATGTTGGCTGTTTAAAATTTAATCTAGCAAAGCAATTAAAACAGTTAAATTTGAACAGCTTGGATTTCCTCTTGAATTTTACCTGCAACAAATTAACCTTCCCTAGACCTAAACAGTTGAAATCTCTCAATCCTGTTTATAATAAATGAAATGAACATTGTGCCTAATAGATTCCACACAATTTACATTACCTCTGCCATTCTACTGAGGCCCTAGTTATAATGGAGAGCAGTACAGAATCAACTGCCAGTTGTTCTTTACCCTTCAGCCAACATTGAGTCCATTCTGATTCATTCCCTTTTAAGGATGGAGTCAGGTTCTAAAGTCCTAATCGTTGTTGTCTCAGCAATTGACTACTGTAATAATGCAATTAATTTTACAGGAAAAATCTTTGCTGTGGGAGGATTTGATGGAACCCATGCACTCAGCTGCGTTGAGATGTTTGATCCAGCCAAAAATGAGTGGAAAATGATGGGAAGCATGACATCAGCAAGGAGTAATGCTGGGGTTGCTGCTGTGAACAGGCTCCTGTATGCTGTGGGAGGCTTTGATGGCAATGCATTTCTGAACAACGTGGAAGTGTACAACCCAGAAACCAATGAATGGAGCCCATACACCAAAACAAATCTGTCCAGTTTATAAAGTTTAGCCTTTTCTTTGCAGCTTAAGTTTAGTGAAGTAATTTGTGTACTTGTTTTGGGGTGGGTGTGGTTGGGTGGGACGGGAAGGGGAGGGATGGAGAATGATTACAATTTGGATGTCTATGGTTGGGCTGTAGCTATTTAGAACAACTTAAAGCATGACTTCTGGGTTTTACTAGTAACAACAGCCACCTTTTTGGAATTGCTTATAATAATTACAATGAGCTGTAAATACTGTTGTCCCAGGATGTAGGTGTTTGTTGTGTATTCCAAGTGAGTTTATGGTTAAGTGCAAACCTGGTATGCAGAAAACAATTTCAAAATTTGGATAATAGGAAATATGTATTTTTAGAGCTTCCCCAGAGTTTTGTTTTGCAGCATTTGCACATTTTCATCATGAAGTTCTGGTTAGAAATGCAGCAGTTATGATAAATTTGAGATGGAGGGAAGGGACCAGGAAAGCAAAGAAGCAGGCGTTGTCTTTCTTGCCTCAAGTGTTTCAACTAGTCATGGATGTACTGACCAGCCTGCCAATTAATGCATTTTTGTTTGGATTAAATGTTTTATGATCACTTTTTATAACAATTTTTGTACCTGGATGAATATACTATATAAAATAAAATCAGATAGTGTTTTGAAACCATTTAAACTAAAGCTTACAACTAGATGAGGCATCAGAGTGGGACATTTAACCTCTTCAAGGAGAATTTTATGTATGTTTTGCCTCTGCTATAACTTATTGTACTGCGCTGTAAATGCTTGATAAACTTGAGGGTTTATTGGATGTGAAATTGTATTAGGATTCAAGTGAAGGATTGAAAAGCACCTGAGAGAGAATCATTTTGTTACAAGCTCTGTAGCTAACATTCCTAAAACATTAGACGACCTAGAAAATTAAATAATTAAACTCTTTGCTTCATGGGCTTTGTGTATTATTTTAAATGCATTAAAGTTATTAAGATTGTCAATTCTCTTATCAGTCCTTAGCCAGATTTGCTGACATGTTTGTGGATTACAAGTTTTTTTTTATTTTTTAAAATTTTAATTAAAAAGTGATAACTGTATGTACTAAAAATCCCATCTCTTATCCCTGCCCTCATTTAGATTTTTAATTTGCAGGATTCCAGCTCTTCGTAATTTGAAAAAAAATCACATGCTAAAGCCAAACACACTCGAACTCTTCAGTTTTTGGATGTGTTTTTAAGGGTAGGTCAAATGCAATGTAGTTTCCTTTTTAATTGCATTTGTTCATTAGAAGTTAGAGTTGTATCTAAATTCTCTAGTGTAAACATTGACTTACCTGAATCGAGATTTTAGAAAAAGAAAATCAGCTGACAAAGAAGTTAGTTGTGTTACTGCCACAATCTATTATGGTACCATAGTGCATCTTGCATTTGTTTTTATACACTAAAATTAAATAATGATTTCACATATCACACTCTTCATTCTGATGCTTTGAAATTAAAGACAATTATAAAAGAGCACAAAATTTCAAACTGTTTAAATTTGAAACTGCACTTATTTCTGTACTAAATTGAGTAATGGAAGATGTTTGTTCTGGTAGGCTTGGGCTATACAAGTTTCACTAAAATCCACCTTACTATTGCTGACTCAAGACCTGTTCTGGTGAAGCTTTTTGTCATGGACTTACCAGGATAATTTGCAGGAAATCCCAAACTAATGTGAGAGTAATGTTATAATACTGAAAGTGCTCACTAGTTGACTGTGGACTCTTCTAGAAATGCTAGTGTGGAGTTAATAATCAACAGCTGACTGCCAAGTTTGGTCATACAGGCCTCAGTCTTACATACTAGAAACTACATATTAAGAGTACTGATCAGAATGCGTATACACCATCTGGCTTTCACCAATTTTGTTACATGGAGAGATTCTGTGGCTGAAGTGTCAGTGCAATGACCTCTGTGGTTTAAAATGTTTCAAACAATTAATGAAGTTAGCTGAATGTATTAAATTTTGTTGGGGAACATAGAAGTGCTTGCTGGTTTAAGCTACATAGTGTCACACTATTTCCTTGTGAAAAATGTTTTGTTTTTTTTTGGCTTTGACCCCGAATTTGACTATTTTTGAGCCACTTTTATCTCAGCACCCATCAAACCTTGTTTATCTTTTAATCTGAGGCTATCACATGGAAAACCTAAACCCTTGATACTGAGCATGATCTCACCCACATCAATGGAAATTCACAATCAGTATTGTAAAAATCCCACAAAGGATTAAACTTGAGATTTTTTTTTTTATAAAACACCAGATCATAATTGTGATAACAATGTAAAAGACATGCTATGTAAAAATGATTCTCAATTTGATAGCTGTTTTAAGAGATAGTGTTGCCTGACGGCTGAGAAAATAGCCATTTCACATCCACAATCTTCATTAAATTATTTTTCAAAACAAGTACTGAAACCATTTTATCAAAAAAATGCCCTCCTCTTCATCTGCCAACCATCAGTATATGACCATTTATCACACTCGCATGACCAAACATTTCTCTTAGCTTTCTAATTGGATTGATGGACTAAACTTACTAGATACTCTTTGCTCCAGGCAAAATAAGTCCTCCACATTTAAGTTGTGGCTGTGTTCCTGCAAATTGTGACTTAAGTAAATCAAAAGTTCCAAAGTCAAAGCTAGGTACCTTCAATTCTTTTTTTGCCCCAGAAAACTCAAGTTGAATACTGTACTGTACATTCCTAGCTGAAATGGGCTGCATCTGTGACACTCCCAACACATTTAAGAGCAATAAAAAGCTAGCAAAGGCACAAAATGAAAATAATTGAATGAAAGTATATATTGGCACATGTAAAGAGGTCACATAAAAATAGATTTTTTTTGTTTAATTTTAATAAGTCAGTTGTGTAGAATGAAAAAATTGGAGCTAAGCAAAGGCAGTCAAATTATAGATTGTTGCTGTCAGTAAACACTTCAATTTAAAAAAACATTTTAGATCAGGCAGGCTCCATCTAATGGCAGAAGCTAGTCAGTGCATGGAGCTACAGTGTCCCTCTGGGACAAAAGTTTGGAAACAGCTGTGTGTGGAAGGGAGGAAGACAAACAAGACCAGACAGGGAAGTCAAGCTAGGCTGTCAGGCCAGGCAAGGGCAAAGGGAGTTGATATTAAAGGGAAGTGAAGCTGGGGGAGGAAGCAAGGGCTGGAAGGATATACATGAGAGACCAGGCTAGGGAAAGGCTATTGGCCAAAAATACAAAAGTAATTAGAGGAAACAGATCTTGAAAATAAAACATTAAATAGGACAACTTAAAGTGAGGACTTCAGGTACAGCATGTATTCATTCACCTCATGTAAGAACCTATACATGTCTTGCAGCAAATTATCTAAGCATATTTCAACCTTGAATTCTACAATTGCTGCTCATGGTGTAATCTACTTGTGAAGAATAAATGATTATAAGTGTGACCTTATGGTCCCCATTTCTTGCCATGTCAATTTTCTGTCACGGTCTGATGTCTTTATCCAGACTAATCTAATGAAGCTCACTGTAAAATTAAGAAACATGAATAATCTTTCTTTCAGGCATCATCAAGCCCTCAGGTATTTGAAATCAATAAAAAATATAGTTCATGAGCTTCTGTTGGCTGTGTCAGTATTAACAAGATTTGGTGGGGATGGGGTGAAGAGTGTTCATAGGGACCAGGGAAGAATAGATTGAGTGATTACCTTGCATGAAATTATGGCACTGGCAAAGATGCACCCTCGCAATTGACTTTTATTTTTCTACAAAGCTCCAAAGCCATTAGAGGCTGTTATGCTGAGCCAACATAAAAGGCCATTCAGTTCTGCAAGCCTGCTCCACTATTCAACAAGACCATGACTGACCAGTTTGTATTTTGAATTCCATTTTCCCCATCTACCCCAAGAACGTTTGATTCCTTTGCCTAACAAAAATCAACGCACACCTTAGAAATGTTCACAGCCCACTGCCACTCACTTCTGAGCCATAGTTCCAGGCACAATCCTTTGAGAAATAACCCTCACCTCCCAGAAGGGCAACCCACAACAGTAAACATCCTTCCCACATCCATCTTGTTAAGACCATTCAAGATCTTATACACTTCAATCACTTTTCACCATTTTTCAATCACCATTCACTCTTCTAAACTATTGTGAAAACAAGTACAGTTTTTCCTCATAAGACAACCTACTCATTCCAGGTATCAATCTGCAACTCTTCTCTGAATGACCTAAACAAATTTGCATCCTTAACCCCAACACTTGGACATACTTTTTGTTAAGCTATTTGGAAACTGGGATAAATATATTTAATTTTTCTCATTGCGCAGCAGTATAATTTAGAATTTAACCATCTCCAGTTAAGCACTTCACAGGTGAATTTGTTTCCTCATTCTTTTGTAAATTTTGTTAAATGTATATTATTTTCCAGTTCTGACAATGGGTCTGTTCTTGAAATCTTGGGCTGATTTTATCACTGGTCCCCTGGCCAAAATGCTAGTGGCAAGACCCCAGCCTCACCTTAAATCAAGGGCTAGGATAGGATGAAAGTGGGCTAAGTATGACCTCCTGGGTGGAATGAAGGGGTGGCTTCTGCCTCCGATGGACAGCGTGGATTGCAAAGAAAGTTCCTTCCTGATCTTGCCTAATACGAACCTGTATACCTAAAGCTGCTCAGCTATCATTTGAGAGGGGCCTCCTCTTGCTATGGATAAAATAGAAGGGGTTATTGAGTCACCCTTAATTCACCAATCAAGGAATTCAATTGGACCAACTGTAGCTGGTCACCTGATGCCTCAAAACATTCATGGATGGGTAGGTTGGTGGTGGGCAGACAGCTCCTGGATTTTGTTGGCAACAGGGGTGAAGGTAGGAAGCTTGTGAAATTTAAAATCCAGCTAACATGTTTGTTCTTGTCACAGTTGCCGAGTGTTTCCAGAAATTTGTTTACAATAATAAAACTTGTTTTCTTTTTACTTTATTTAGCAATTTACTTATCAGACAGTTATCAAGACATCTGTTTTCCCCTAGTTCATTACAGACTCTCAGTCTGATGAGTATTTGACATTTTCAGAATTTTAACACTATCCAATAACTTGAATTGTAGACTCTGGACCTGTTTTAACCTCTGCAACTTCTACCCTGTGATTTGTTTCAGTTTGAATAGTTTCTGCAGCAATGTTTCAGTGCCTTATGCAACATGCTCATGTCATGTGCGTGAGGTGCTACTGTTGTGTTCTTTCTGTAACTGATTTCTCAAATCGGTGGATCAAGTGACACAAAGGAGGAGTCTGAGAAGTATTGAGTCTAATTTCACCAAATTTTCTAACCTATAAGATCTGCATAAAATAACTTTTAAACGTACCCATCATGAGTCTTTATGCAATGAAAGAAAGCCTACCAAAACATTTATAAAATGAGCCTCTTTGCTCAAACAAATGCTTAACATTTTGGAATATGTACTAAAGATAACAAACATGTCCAGGTACAGGTAAAGAAAGAAAAACAAAATAGAATGATCTCATGCTTAAAGGAAAAATTGGTGGGGGCAAGTGTTAAGGTTTAGTGGAGGGGAATAGAAAACCTTTTTCAGCATACAGAATGTTACAGGCTAAGCCATTTTACATACTCACAATAATGTGTCTTGAACCCCAATCCCCAACATCTCCAATGTCTCAAAACAGAAACCACCATTCTGAGCAGGACTGAAAATCTGACGTCAATCAATGCTGACTTGTCAGCTATTTTGTGTGATGTGCACGTTTCCATTAGAAATTCGATTGAAGTTTACTAATTTCATTTCATTTACAAGGCTTACAGCCACTGAGAAGTAGCATTCAGTCAATACTTGATTTAATTACTTTCAGTGACGTAAAACGGCAGTAGTTTAAATCCTTTAATCAAAGCTATTACACAGAATAAGTGTTCTCATAGATTCCCATCTCAATTATGTTAAAATTTATTTATGATGGATTAAAAAAAAATCAGATTTTACCCCTTAAATTTGATAGCTACATATTCTGGGAAAACTTAAACTGTAGGATAATTAATCAAAATTAAAATATGGATGAACTTGCAATGACTATTTTTGAATACTTTGTAAGCTGCTGAAAAAAAACTATAACCAATTAACTTTAATCAGAAAACCCAAATTCCCTGGAATATATGTTGGTGATTGAATATACTCAGATTTCTTTTCTAGGATCTCTGGTTGTGAGGAGGACCAAGTAGTGTTGTATATGGTTCCAGGTCCTAAAGTAATTTAAACTGAACACTCAAAAATATATTTAGGTTTACAGCTCATACAGGATTTAAGAGTAAAACATTAAATATAGTATTCCTTTAATAAAATTCTCACGTAATCGGGCAACATATAATTTTTCTTTATTTAAATAGCACCTTAACAAAACCTTTTGCAATTTTACCTCTGATACAGAGAATTTTATCATTCTCACAACAAGAAATGAGCATTAGTAAAACATAATAAACTAAATCCAGTTTGTTGAGAAACAGCGTATGATTGTTAAACAGTATTAAACTAAGCCTCTGCTTCTGGCCTCGAGACACAGTGCTGCATTACATTGCTCCAAATTGTAGCTTAACTCAGCCAACTGGCTGTAGCCAACAGTCAGCCTCTTCCTGCAAAGGAAAGAAATAGATTCATCTAAAAAAAAACACGTCTGGAATGCTGTATGTGCTAAAAATTACATTTTCCAAGCTTGCTTTAACAGTATATAATTTCATCCAATTCAATAAAATCCATATTTAGATATTTGTACTTACTATTTTAGTACGTGGCTGATCTGAAGGGAAATTTGGGTATTGACAGCCAACTGGTGAGAAAGCCTACAATCCACTACTCCCAGCTGCACATTAATGAAACTTTGGGTATCTTTTGATATTAACAAATCTTTGTGCTTTTCAATGCAGCCTCTGGCTACCGCTCCCAAGCTAGTAAAAAAAATGATCCTGCTTCCAGGCCCAGCTCCTCAAACCATACATCTGAGGAGGAACAGTTGCAGATTCTTGGAGGATGTACTGTCTAACCGTACTACTTTCCCTCCACCAGTGCAATCTATCTAACGAAGGCTCAGGGTTACATTTTAGTGAGCACAGCACTGGCACCGGCAAAAGAAAGAAGGGAGGAGTAAGAAATGGCTTGAGGTCTCTCACACTCAGAAGATTGCTGGAAAAACAGGTCCCTGCTAGACTCCAGAGATCCCCAGCAAGGGGCCCAAAAAAGTACTGGAGTCAGGAACCAAAAAAGAGATATTTAAGATGAAAGAATTTGATACTATTGACGTAAAGAAGAGTATTTCATTTGCAGGGGCGATCAGAATTAGGGTCCATTATTAGAAGACAGTCACCAAGAAAGCCAACAGAGAATTTAGGAGAAACTTCTTTACCTCAATGGGGAGAGGGTGAGAAGAGAAAGGAAAACTACATTGAGCTAGGTAAATACATAAGGAGAAAGTAACAGACACATGTTGATATGGTTCAATGAAGACCTTTTGGGCTGAATGGTTTGTTTCACTAGTGTCAGTACTATTTAACAATACAATATTGAGCCAGGGGTGCTGTTCTTGGATTTGGCATTAAAATGGTCTTCTAATAGTTCAGATTACGAAAATCCCACAGTATTATTGGAAGAGGACAAAAATGTTCTCATGTTGTTGCCGACATTTCTCTTGCAGCTGTAGCCAAGTTGGAAGCAAGCTTGAACCTGGAATCTTGTGATTCAAAGGCAAGTCCCACTCCAGGAATCAAGGAATACACTTCAACACAGTACTGAGGGCACAGTGCACTACTAGATGTTTCAGATGAGAAGTTAAACCAAGGGCCCATCTCACTTCTTGATTTGACATAAAAGATCCTTGACATTAATCTGAACAGGAGCAGGGGAGCTTTCCTTGAATGTCCTGGCCAATATTTATTCCTTGATCAACATCACAAAAAGCAATTACCTGATCATTATCACATCATTGCTGTTTTAATTTGCTGTGCGCAAATTAGCTGCCACGTTTCCCACCCTAAAGCAATGTTGCTGTCCTCAGAATGATGGCTACTCAAGATTTAAGAGTTTCTTCTGTGGATTTCATAGTCAGGACAGACTGATTCTTGACTTGCTGATCTTTGAGCCAAGGCTGTGGAATGTGAGTGCAGGAATTTCTTTCCTTATTTTTTGCCACTCTGTCTCATTATTAAGATCAATGTAGCTTGACAGACAGGTTATTGTCATATTGCTAAAGTGTCAAATCTCATGGTTCATATATTTTAAGAAGGTAACTTATAGTTTGTGAATTAAAGTTATTTAAAATGATACAAAGGCAAAAAACAACATTTGGAATACTGATGAACAGATTTAAAGTGATTGCAATTCAAAGGGTGGGCTATCTTAATTTAAGAACTGCAAAGTTTAAGCAGGGAACATTAAACAATGGGGGATCTTTGTGGGTTTTGGTGAGGATGTGATTTCTACAGTTGTCTTCAGAAGGGGTTTGAATTCATTGTGATTTTTACAGATCGTAAAAATTTGTAAAAGTAACTGGTAAACAAAGGAAAGTCTTAAAGTATCCATATACTTTCAGATCAAAAGACATGTCTTGAAAGGTGGTGATGTTAGTTGAAATCCCCATATGGGATATCACAGTTTTGTCACATTGCCACGAGGATAGGCTGCAGTGGAGCCCTCTTTCATTTTGGATTTATCAGAGTGATTTTTCACAGATACTAGCACTTTTATGCCTGCAGCTGGAACAGAGAGGCAACAAGAAAGCTACCCAGGACTTGTTGGCCATTAAGCAAAAACACGATGAAGCCCATCCTTGAGCTGTGGTGTCGCTAACCGTGAGGTGCTTACAGAAAGTTAGTGAGTTGCCAAGCCAAATGCTGGAGGGAGGATCACAAGAAATTTCACACCTTAGAGAACAGAGGGAACATCGCAGAATGGGTTCCAAAGAGCTGTGCCATACTTTAATTTGGTGCCAGGAAAATTGAATGAATCCTTAAGATCAAGTATTGGAAACAGAACTTGGGTGAAAACAACAACGGTATAAGGAATCTACATTTGAGATGACTGGGCTTCAGGAATAAGTGTTTTGAAAATATAATCTTGATTTCGTAGTACTTGCATTGTATGGAAAAGTTTTTGTTCAAAACATGAAATCTTGTGGATTAATTGTTTCATTTATTAACAGGAAGTTAAAATTTCTGTTGTAAACATCAATGGCCTCCCTCAAGATCATAATATGGTGTTCAGTTCAAAGTTCATTTAGCAGGAACGTTGCCTGGATGCTTGTGGAATTGGCCTTAAAAAGATGCTCATACTTGTTTGACAATCCTCCTATTGAAACTGAAGGATGAGCAGAGGTATCAGGTAGATTGTAAATTGTAAGGGAGCTATTACAGTCTTGCTTATCACCAATATGGATTTGGAAGACATCTGTTTCAGATCTTCATGATGATATGATGGAAACCACCTTGAACGGGAGTAGTTACAGATGCTAAGGAGCTGAATTTACTGAGCTGAATACTTTAATCTGGTGTGATGAATGCAGTGTTCTCAACATTTTTCATGGAATTTTCTGGCACATTGATGAAGTTGGCTATTCCCTTGAAGGTCTAAAGCTACATTATGTCTCCAAGAGAATTTCCTCAGCCACAGGATGTAGGCGATTATGGAGAATTTTATATTATTCAGGAGACAGTCTCTACAATTAAGATATGTATTTCCTCAGGAACGTTTTGCCATTTGACATTGTGTATTAGATACCCCTAGTAACTTTGGAAAAGTTTTGCATATCATGGTCAAATAATTGTATAATTTCTTGTTCATACTCTTCCCACTACATGTCCTATATCTTCCAGAATTGTCTTCGGACATCAGCTGCTGCCTTCTTGACATCTTGATTTGTTCTGCCAGGAAATGAAGGAATGAAGGCTGATTATTTTTCTTCTAGGAGTTCAGATATTAAGCAGCATTTCCATCAAACCAATCTTAGGAATGAAGAGGTTCGAACCCTACAATCTGGGCAGTGGAGTCTAGTACAGCTGATTTAATTTGATCCCAATGTTCTAGAATTGAGCTGGATATGTCAAGACTTTCCAGATTGGTCATGAGCTTGGAATTACTCTCTTCAACCAAGCCGTTTCAGGGCTGAGCTGCTGAGTTTCTTCCTCTTGGATCTTTGGGTCTTGAGACGATGGTGGATGTTCATCACAAATTGAACAAGTGAATGCTCTATCCAGCAGACATTATTTAACATGGTAACAGTGACTACCCTTCAAAAAAGTGCTTCAATGACTGCACTTTGAGATGTCGAGGGGTTGTGAAAAGCTCCATATAAATTCAAGTCCTTTTTACACCACCACCAAAAACAAATTAACTAGCCATTCATCTCACTTGTTGTTTGTGATTTCTGATGTTTGCAGCTTGACTGCGAGGTTTGTTTGCATCATAACAATGAATGCATTTCGGAAGTAATTAGTTGGTTGCCAAAAGTTTCGGCATGTCCTCAGGACAAAAATAGATTTTATGAAAGTACAAGTCTTTACTTGTATTCCATATGATCAAATATTACTGAAATTTAAGTCAAATTATAGACACATAGACATTAGGCATAAAGGCACTTCATGTAATGAGAAAGCAAACAGAAATTAACTTACATGCTCAAAAGAAAACAGAAAATATGGAACATAACCTTTGAGTCAGAATATTAATGTATAGGAGTGGCTGTTCTAAGAACATACCCAACCTCAAGTATGGATAGGTTGTCACCTACAATCCCCGCCTGTTCGAAATAAGAGCTCCAGGTGCCCTCCAGACCCAATTAAAATTTGGATAGAGCTTAGCAGGAATTAGCAGAGCTTTCCAGCTCTCTTCTAACTCACAATCATTTGAATTGGACAAAGATCAGCCCAGCTCCTTTATAACTTATTTTAATGTACATTAAACTTAGTGAAGATCTGAACTTCACATATGCTTGTAAGCTTCGAGGTTGAACACCATGAAAATAAGTGATTTCCACAGTGATCCCACTAAGTGATGCATTTTAGAGTTTTAATTAATAAAGACAAGATCTCTGCTGCTCTGTACAGTCGTCAAGTTCAAGACAGAATACCTTATATCAAATTAAGAGCCACAAGACTACAATTTTAGTCAATAATGTGTTTGTTTAGCATTATAAAACGTTCTTTACTTCTAGTTTATAATGTAATGACAATTTACAACTTGGGCAACACAGTAAATTAGCACACTGTAATTTTACCTCTGCAAGCTGAGATTGAGTCCAGTTTAGATTACCAAGAACACAGTTTAATCTCTGCTATCTGAGCATTTTTAATGAGTTACGAATCCCAAACGTAATTTCTATTTGGCAGAGGACCAAAACACAAAGTTCCTCTCAAAGTAACGTAAAACCGGCAAATTCAGAATACCTCACTGTAGGAAATGACAAAATATTTACAAGCCCAACTGGGTTTAAACCATTTTACTCGAGAAGTCAAAGTTCTTTAATTTGCATTTTTTAAAATTCTTTATTCATTCACGGGATGAGGGCGTCGCTGGCCAGGCAGCATTTATTGCCCATCCCTAATTGCTCAGAGGTCAGTTAAGAGTCAACCACATTATTGAGGTTGGTTGGCTCACCGAGCTGGTTTGATGTTTTGCAGACGTTTCATTACCATGCTTGGTAACATCCTCAGTGCAGCGTCGGTGTGTTTTCCCACCTCGTTTTTAAACTCTGGGTCCATTGAGATGGATTGCCTCACTTCCGGTTTTCCTTCGTAGTGGAATGTATATGGGGTCGAGTTCAACATGTTTATTAATAGCATGCTTCGTGGAGTGCCACGCTTTCCAGGAATTCTCTGCTTGTCTCTGCCTAGCCTGTCCCAGGATCTTGGTGTTGTCCCAGTCGAAGACGTGGTTCTCCTTGTCCATGTGGATTGAGATGAGTGAGTATTGAATAGGCAGAGACAAGCACGAGAATTCCTGGAAGCGTGGCACTCCACGAAGCATGCTATTAATAAACACATTGAACTCGACCCCATATACATTCCACTATGAAGGAAAACCGGAAGTGAGGGAATCCATCTCAACGGACCCCAGAGTTTAAAAATCAGGTGGGAAAACACACTGACGCTTCATCGGAGGCTGCACTGAGGATGTTATCAAGCATGGTAACGAAACATCTGCAAAACAACAAACCAGCTCGGCGAGCCAACCAACCTCAACACCCACAATCCGAGCTACAGATCTACTTCAAAACCTTAGAGTCAACCACATTGCTGTGGGTCTGGAGTCACATTAGGCCAGACCAGGAAAGGATGGCGGTTTCCTTCCCTAAAGGGCATTAGTGAACCAGATGGGTTTTTCCTGACAATCGACAATGGATTCGTGGTCATCATTAGATTCTTAATTGCAGATATTTATTGAATAATAATTCCACCATCTGCCATGGCAGGATTCGAACTTGGGTCCCCAAAACATTATCTGGGTCTCTGGATTAACAGTCCTGTGATAATACCACTAGGCCATTGCCTCCCCTGTGGTTATTTTACTGCAACGCTACAACTGGGAAACTATCCTAGTCCCTACAAATGATATCTTTATGGAATACAATCCACAGTTACAAATTTATTCAGTTATAGCATGCAATGAAATGAAACCGAAGCAAAAACACAGAAAATCAGATGGAGATAGATACGTGCAGGGGTAACTGAATGCCGAAGATGCTGCTGCAGTGTCAAATGATTAGATAATTACCCAATGTTGTCAAGGTTCATAAGAATTTTTCACCCAGAATTATGAAGTTCTTTTGTCATCCAAGATTATCTGGGTGATCACTTATTTCACTTGTTAAAATAAGAACTGTTTGACCAAATTTAATCAACAGTCATGAGCCTGATTTTAGCCTCGAAGCCATTAACATTTTGCATGTAAATTACGATTATCAAAACTAACATCACTGCATCAAAATTAACATCAATGAAGTGAGGTAACAATTTAGAGACTCAATACCATGAGTACCAAGATCAAGTTGCACAGACAATGCTTTTTTACACTTGCATCCAAAACTTGTTTATAACTCACCTGTACTCTTCATGACTAAAACATTCATGTAAATCCTGTGCAGAAATTCTGGTATCAGAAATATTTGTCTGCAGGGAACAAGTAAACAAAATACCTAAATAAAGCTTCCTATAGCACTAGATATTAAACAGATAAAACAGAAAAACAGAAACAGGAATAATCTCCATGGACATTTTCTTATGCAAACAAAGATCAAATAACTATTTGTTATGCATAAAACTTTATTGTACTTTTCAACATAAAAAAACTGAATAACTAAATGAATATAAAAGTATAAACGTTCTAGTTATTTTTCTGCAAGTTATTTCAATACCTCTTCATTATTTAGAAAGATGTGCAGAATTTCCGTGAGCTTCTGGAAATCTTGAACATTACTATCTGATGACAAAATTCTGAAACAACAATCAGAAAAAAGCATATTAGATAAAGTCCAAGACCAGAATATTAAATTAGCAACTCTCAAAGTTACTTCTGCAGCAAAATACAAATATGTCCAACGGTGGAGTGGATATCATCTGAAATTACTAGGAAAGTAATATCAGTATCCCATGCAGTCAAAATAGTTGCCAGGTTTAAGCTGTACTTTTTAAATTGTGAATTATTTCAGCAATTCTTCTCCACATATTTCACAGAAATGACATATTTTCCAAAATAAAACGACCAAAATTGGATAGAGTACTCTTGTCTCACCAATGCCCTGTACACCTATAGCAAGACATCCCTACTGTTATATTCCATTTCCCTTGCATTAAAAATAATGGCCCAACATATTGTAAGGGAGCAGGCTCAAACTGGTCCAATCTGAAAGCCATCCCCTGCCCTCATCTCCAACATTCCTCTCTCTGCTGCTCTGACCTAACAAGGAAAAGAAAACTCTTTCGTCAATGGATCCCCAAGGACTATGCCTTAACCACTGGACTTTAGGGCCCAGATGCAGCTGGCCACTGATTGGTCTGTACTTTTTGGTGACCCTGGTTGCCAATGTCAAATCCTGCAAAAGAATGAGACATTTGCCATCACTTGCCTTCATGAACTAATTTGCGGGTGGATGATCACGTGAGTTTTCTCACCAGTGAGTATGGCATTTAATTGGTACCTAATATGTTCACACCCGCACTTAAGAAAAAAAAATGAAAATTCCACCTACTGTTTTTATACTGGTAATTACAATGCAGATTCTGTGATAACCTGCATATGTGAGATATTTTATTTTATTAAAGGTGCTATATAAATGTAGGTTGTTACTCTCGTTCACTTATCCCTGTCAGACATGGACACAAACTAATAACTTTGAGATAAAACAAAAAGTGCCAAGATTTAGGGAGAACTGCTGATGCTGGAGTCAGAGATAACACAGTGTGGAACTGGTGGAACACAGCAGACCAGGCAGCATCAGAGGAGCAGGAAAGCTGACATGGCTGAAGAAGGGTCCCAACCCGAAATGTCAACTTTCCTGCTGCTCTGATGCTGCCTGGCCTGCTGTGTTCCTCCAGCTTCACACTGTATTAGTGCTAAGATTTGTTAGTTTATCTCAAAACTGGGAATAGCCAGAAATGCAAAGATTCCGGGCAAGTCTTTTTTTTTGAGCAAAAACGATGTGTCTCTTGGTGGGTTTGGCACAGCCAAGCTTGGTAGCAGAGATAGCTTACAGTTTCTGCTCTCCCAGAATCTGCTCAACAGCAGATTGAATTTATCAGTAATATTTTTAAAAAGCAGACAACATAACAGAGACAAATAACGTAATTGAAAATCTTTTGTGATGTTACTGTCCTTCAAAAGTTACTTCACCTGACAATGTTCTAACTTGTCAATAATGTGGCATTACCTATAACTTTTACTTTGAACTGATCTAAATAATCTAATTGCTAACCAGCATGCATTATGCACATTTATGTAGAATACAGATATCTTTCACCAGAAAGGAACAGCTTGATCATTTCAATGACAAAAATGGCAAATGAGTTCCCTAGGTCTTCCTTCCAGAGGAATCAAACAGTGGATTATGTTCTGGAAATCTGAGAAGTAGACATCAGGTCCACACTGCAGAACCTTTAAAAATAAGTTACATACTGCTGACGACATCGCTGAAGGCTTACCAGACCATTACGTCAATTTTAAGACCAATCAAGAATTTCAACCACTTCTTGTTACTGTTCTGCATATTTTACAGTCATCAGTTACAGGTCCAAAGGTTTCTCTCACACATAATTAAGGAGCCTTTTTGATTACCATTTAAATGAGGTAAATCATGTCCTCAAATGATCACCCATTAGAGATTAAGTTATATTAGGTCATCAGAACTTTAAATTTCTTCCTCTTCCGCAGTACACTCTTGAGTGAGTTGGCACTACGATGGGATGACACCTCCATCATTCTGCATGGGAATGGCTTGTTGAAGGAACTATGGAATTTTATTACTGAGCCAAAGCTGTGGACAAAGTTCTCTTGTTCTTAAATAAAGCCTCCTTTCGTCATCTTTTTACAAAAACATGAGAGGGTGTTTGCCGGGAAATATCGGAACATGAACAGCAAATACTTTAGACTAGAACCTGATTTTGTGAAATAGTAGCTATTTTACAACCACTGCTCTAGTTTTAAGTGAAACTAGCCTGGTTAGAAGAACTAATTTAGAAACAAAGCTTGTACACGTTTTTGACTGTAACACATAACTGACTCTTTGTCCACAGTGGCAAGTAGATATAAATCAAGATTCAAATAAAACTTCAGGAACTGCCTTTGGAATTCAGCTAAGAAAATACAGAAAAGGGCAGCAAAGACCAGCTGATCCATCAAGCCTATCCTGACCCAGTATAGAAATTCCTATGCAATCCCCAAAGGCAAACTAGCAAACTCAAAGAGATCATTGTGTCTGTGAGCTAACCTCAATGGTGACCCATTTGTCTTCTACATGCAAAGAGATTTTCCACACTCCAGCACTTAAAAATGTGCACTTTACGATGAGCCGACAACTTAATCCGTAATTATTCACTGACTTGTTGCAAAAATTACCTCGCAACATCTGACCTACTTTTGTGTTATTGGTCATTTATAGACACGTCCATGATTTTCTCTAATTTATATAGCTCAATAAATAATCTATACACTTGGTCACAGTCTAGTCTTTTCATTGATTGAAGACACCAATATATTCCATTCAAGTTTCACATCATTGCAAAGTAAACAATAATTCAATTCTACAAGTCTGTTCCGGTAACCAAGTTCTTCTACACTACTTATCAGGCTACTCTACAACTTTTCCAGTGTATCCATACACTTTATATATGAGGAGATTACAGTAAGACAGTAGTCACGATGTGGTGTGCCAAGTGCCTATTTAAAGGCGGGATGGTGTTTCTTTCTTCATTTTTAATTAACTTGGCAATATATCCTAACATTCCTTAGGTTTTCAAAATTGCCTAATGGCACTGATAAAGTACTGTCAATCAATTATACACGAAATTATCTACATGATACTCCCACTTAGAACACAAACCTGCATGTTTCAAATCATCCGCAGTTATTTGTTCTTTTTGTAAACCGAAATCAGCAATAGTTGGCTATTTTGCCAAACTATTTTATGAAAGCTGAAATGCCCAATGTCCAAGATTCCTTAACAATCCATACTCATTCAGATTGTTTTTCATACCTTTAACGATTTCTCCTGGAATGTTTTTCATTGGTTTGTGTTGTCATGAGATTTGAGTCTTGGGGTTCTATTCTTTGTACAGGAGTGACGGGTATTCATGTGGTCTTTAACTGTTTCCTCTTATAATGAAGGCTGTCCGAGTCTGGTAAATTTATTTACACTATTGTACATCAAACTGTTCTCCAAGTGCATCTATCATGAAAATAGACCATTGCATTCTTTCTTCACAGTTTCTTACCCACAGCTGCTTATATCATTGTTACAGCATGATGCACATCAACATTCCATAATGATATCCTATTCCCATTGTACAACACCAATATCTTAAGCTAAACAAATGGGCTTACGATCTTACATTTCTGATTTAGTTCCAATCTGTAATATCATATGCGTCGGCTCTCTCCTATGAAGGCTCCAGATCCATCTAATTAATTCACGATGCAACTAAGCTGTTGACTAAATAGCCTCCAGTACTTTGAGCATTTCAGTTTTTCTCACAGTTCGATGCAAAGAGAGGATGCTACTGCGTAGATCAGTATTTACTGACACTAATTGTCCTTGAAAAGACTGTGGTGAATGGTTTGCTTGAGCTGCTGCAATACATGGACCTGTAGGTGATTCCACAGTGCAGTCAGTTAGGGAGCTCCTCGAGTTTGGCCCACCAGCATGTTGGCGTATGGCTTTTTATTTTAATTATAAGCAGGGGTAGGCCATCCACCCTTCGAGCCTGCTCCACCAATTAAGGTCATGGCTGATCTGATTTTAACCTCCAACTCTACATTCCTGCATATCTCCAATAACCTTTCACGTCTCTGCTCATTAACACCATGTCTACCACTGCCTTAAGACTTTCAAATGTTCCACCTCTAACTTTGAAGTGATTGGGACTAGGTGGGCCTCACTGACAAGGTTCTTGATTGAGGTTGTTCACCTGGGCCAATCAGGAATCTCAGTAAACAAGGTCCACCTGGTCCCAGTTACTACAACCACCTTTCATGGAAGAGAATTACAAAGACTCACAACAACTCCCTAGTCACCGACTGCAGTAACAGCATTGTCTACAAGATGTAATGCAGCAACTCGTGGAAGTTTCTTTTATAGCACCTCCCAACCAGCAACCTCTATCAATAGAAAGACAGTAGCACTAGAAACATGGGAACACCAACCCCAACAATTACACCCTTTTCTCCAGTAGTATAAACCATTGTGATTATTTGAAATTTGGCATTCTAGTGTTTGACCTGATGAGCACAAAAATCTTCAGCAACATGCCCCTCTTTTCAGGGATATTCAAGCTCTGTACCTACAGATGAACGTTTAACTAAATCTTCCATTGTCCACCAGATCTCTTGCTTTGATAAGACGACAATAGAATAATTCTAAATACATTGTTTTATTATGTTAATGTTTCTGAATGAAGAAAAAATATAATTTGACCTTTAGCCACAGGAAATACATTTTTTCTTATTATTCTTTCACAGGTGATGGATGTCCCTGGCTAGGCTTGCAAGTATTATTGATCCACAACTGTTCTCTAGAACTGCTGCAGTGTAAATGGGATATGTACACCCACAATGCTGTTAGGAAGGTAATTCGAGGTTTTTCAACCAGCAACTGTGAAAGAACAGAGATATAGTTTCAAATCAGGATGGTGCACAGCTTCGAGGTGAAGTTGCTCAGGGTGGTGTTCCCATCTATCTACTGCCACTGTCTTTCCAGTTGATAGAGGTTGCTGGTTTGAGAGGT